CCCAAAATTATCTATTTTCAAGAAATTGGTCCTAACCGCATGGTATCTAGTTCGCATGCTTCTATTCAACAGAATATAGAGTAAAAAAGAAAGGTTCAGAAACGCTCCTCCTTTGTGTACACCTAAATTGGGTACCTACTGACAGACAGAGGTTTGGTATAACTATACCTAGGGTGATCGTTCTACAGTTCACTATATGCATGGTTTCGGCTCTATCAGGAAAAGGGAACTCGAATTGTCTTTGATGTTGGTGCCCCCTTGGACTGCCAGACCCTCGATCTTCACCCATTACAGGTTTTGAACGGAACGAGTTGAATTCGAGGGGATTCACTGCCTTATACCCATACGAGGAATAAAACCCTACGAATGTATAAGGTATGTATCTCATGTGTTATTTGCTAAAACTCATACGAATAATAAATTATTATGAGAGTAAAGCAATCACCCCGACTAATTTGGATCGAAGCTCGTGTCTAGAGCTTATGTTATGTAAATGCACGTGATGTGTGTGAGGAGGAACGTGCCTACCTCTGAATCAAAACGGAAAAGAAAAAACTCGACAAAAACTTGGACCGATCTGAAAACAAAAAATCAAATGTTAGTATGACAATTAAAAAAATGAAGCAGTTAAAAACTTCAATAAACAGATCATAAGTTAACTAAACACCCGAATTAATAACTTCCACCACAATAATAATGTGTAAGCGACCTACAGCCTGACTGTCTAAAAAAGTCCACAGTGGAGTCGCCAAGCTGTCATAACCATTTTTTTATAAAACAATAAAAATATTATTTTTAAAAACGATTATGACTTTTATTTTGAAAATTGGGTGATTTTGAATTGATTTGAATTAAATTGAAAGGAGTCGCCATCGACCTTTGGGTTAGGTAGGTCGAATACCTAAAAACGTCTTTTAAAACAATTTTAAGAAAAAAATCATTTTTTAAGATAAAAATTGGTCTGCGTTTACCAACAATCCGTTTTTAAGGGTTCGGGAGTCGATTACGCGTGGGGAAGGGTAAGCACCCCCATAGCGCCCGAAATCGGTACTGTGATGCTTACACTTTGTCGTAAATGGTGGAAATTGTGAATTCACATCGATAATTAAAGTATGATTCATTTATTAAAGTTAATTAATTTGCTTCGACTTATTAATCAGAAAAAAAATTCTTTAACTTGAAAAGAAATCTCGAGATTAGCAATCCTACATCAGGAAAGCTATCTCGTCTATTTCTTATCTATAAAGAATATTCCCTCCCCGATAAAAATACGAATCGAATATAGATTGAAAATCGATATTTGTGTACAATAAAATAAATTGCTATTTAAGGAAGCATGCTTTGCATAATTTGAGTAAAAACAAATTGATTGTCATTAAAAAAGTAAATTTGATTTATTTAGAGTTCGCATTTCGTTAGAATGTCGTATCGGATTACACTACTTCGATCAAGCAGTGCTTTTCACGCCTGTTCTACAAATAAAGTTCTTGAAAATAATTGAATAAAAAGGCATTAAAATGAACAAAATTATCATTTGGTACAATCATTCAAAATCAACTTCAAAGTGCAAATAATATATGCATACATAAATAATACGAACACATATATAATATCCATACATGGTAAAATGTAAAGAAATAAAATCTAACTAAGAAAAAATTAAATTATAAAAGTAAAATAAACATACAATAAAACACAATAATTAAAGGAATAAAATTAAAGTATTGAAAAATAAAGAGATATAAATAAACGATTAAAATATTAAAACAAATAAAATATAAGTAATAAAATTAAATAAAGAAAATAAAAAACATAAATTTAAAAGTGCATAAAGTTAAATAGAATAAATAAAATGTTAATATCGAATTGTATTATGTATCATGTACCGTAAATGATGCGAGTCATACCCGGGACGAATTATCGCAAGATCGTAGATGGCTTGAACATGAAATAAAACAAATAAATAAATAAAAGGTTAACAATTAATAATTAGCGGTTAGAAAGGTTAGTTGTTGGGAAAGTTAGCGGTTAGCAGAGTCCGAACCATAATAATGAATATCATTCCCCGGATCGGGTCACCACAAGGCCGAATCAAATATTAGAAATAATAAATAAATAAACAAACAAACAAATAAATAAATAAACAATTGTTAGAATGCAATAAAATAAAAGTCAGTAGTTAGCAGAGTTCGAACCATAATAATGTGGATCATACCCTGGATCAGATCAACACAAGGCCGAATCGAATATTAGAAACAATAAATAAATAAATAAATAACAATGATTAAAATTGCAATAAAATAAAAGTTAGTAGTAAATAACATAGCATAATAGTGATTAAATTAAAAGTTAGTAAAATTAGCAGATATATTCGAAATAAATAAATAAAAAGTGTAACCAGAGTGCAAAACAAGGCAAAAATGGAGGGGCCTATGGGTGATTTACCAAAAAAAAATAAAAAAGAACATTCTCCCCCGTTTTCTTCTTCTCTGCTCTCGACTAGCCGATGAGGCCCTCAAACCCTGCCAATAACGCTGGCCACCAGAAACCGACGGTCATCACACGCCCCAACCAACGTCGAATCAACCCGTGAAACCCAAACCGACTCAAAAAGAAACCGAAACCCCCTTTCTTTTACTCCTCATTTGAACTCAAAGGCCCTATTTGAGCATTGCTTGTCCTTCCGACCACCATCCACGGTGGTCGGGACGCTACACTGGAACCGCCACCAACACAGAACTACAACCAATGCCTACACCCCACCACATTTACGTAACAAGGCTAAAAAAAAGAATGAAAGAAAGCAAAAATGTGAAGGAGAGAACAGAACCATTTTTTACTTACTGTTTTTAAAACTTACAAAACGGGGTGGGGGCTCAAATATGCTTTTTGCTTGACTTTTAAAGCCCCCACATATTACAAAAGGTAATATTACAAGTTTGGTATCTGCACTTTGTTCCTTCTTTAATTTCCGGACAAAATTAGGGTATTATAGATAGAACATACATAATTTACAAGGTTCGACGAAATGTCGTCTTCTCCTCGGGCACCACCACTAGGGATGGACATTGACCCAAGCCCGACGGGTTCCGACCTAACCTAACCCTATATGGTCTATTTTTTTAAAAAAAAATTAAGTTCGAGTCAAGTTGGATTATAAAGGAGATAGTTTTGGGTTCGCGTCGAAGTCGTGTTTGAAGAAAAAATATTCAACCTGACCCGACCCGATATAATTATAAAATAAAGTGAAATATTTACAAAAATATCATCAAATATATATATATATATATATATATATATATATATTTAGGGTTTTAGTTTCAACTACCATTTTATTTTCTCACTTTCCTTTCTGCCTCTCATCTCTCTTTCTTTCTTTTTTTCTTTCATTCTCAACTTCCATTTCATTTTCGCACATTTCTTTTGTTTGTTTTTCATTCTATTTCATTGTTTTTTATTTTCCCTTCATTCTTTAGAAGTTTGTTTCTTCTTCTGCCCGTTCCATCTCATTTTTGTAACAATATTTTCAAGATTTTATGAAGATTTCAAAATATGAACGAAGATTCAAATATTGTGGGTATTGTTTATGGATTTCTTCTTCTAATTTCTTTGTTTTGTTTTGGGTTTTTTTTAAAAAGAAAAATTTGTGGGTATTGTTTATGGATTTCTTCTTCTAATTTCTTTGTTTTGTTTTGGGTTTTTTTTAAAAAAAGAAATCTCATATTCTTTTCAAGTTTAACATAATTTTTTGTTTACTTAATTTTTTAAGTTGTTTTTTTTTTTGCTTGGTTAGTAAGAAAATTGAAGAAATTGTGAGAAAATAAAAGAATAGGTGAAAAATAAGTGAAATCTGGAATTGATCGGGCCGGGTTAAATCGGGTTTTTAGTTTAAATTTTGGGTCGGGGTCGGATTGGGTGGAACCCTTCAGAATCAGGTTCCAGTCGGGTAACTAGTGGAGAGTAATACTTTTTAGGTCGAACTCGAATAGAAAAAAATCCGACCTGACCCGACCCATCCCCATCTCTAATCACTACCGAATGATAACTTCACTATTACCAAAAAAATGATACAAACAAATGGAATTCCTTAAGAATTCCTAAGTACAACAAATGGGAGAAGAGAACCAAATGGAAGAGATGGTTTGAGATTGGAATAATTTCAAATGAAATAGTTATGTCTATTTATAATTGAGCTCTAGGGACTAATCTTGTAAATGATCTAATAATTTAGAGCCCAAATGACAATTATCTCATGGACTATTTAATATTAAACTAGTGACTTCATTTAATTCTAAATTAAATGACATTGAAACCACTACGATTCAAGCCATTCTTAACAGTTCATACATTAAACATTTTTTTATTAAAATAAATTCATAATTATACCTCTAGTTTGCATGTAGTTCGTAGAATGCATACGTACGTACATGCGAGATTATTCCTTGAGTTCCCATTCTTTAATTTTTAAGCAACAATGTTCTAAATTCAACCCGAAGCCAACAGCATGGAATAAATATGCAAGAGTAGTCTTTATCTTCATGTGATAATGGTGTATATTCAAGGACGTAAGCAAAACTTTATGTTAAAGAGACAAACTACTAAAATTTTAAGAGATGACAAACTTATATAATTTTAAGGAGCAAAAATAGATTCTCAATAAAAAATACTTAAAAGAAAATAAAAAATATATGATAGATTTTAAGGGACGACTGCCTCCACCCACCCCTCCGTCCATCTCATGCATATTTATATCATGCTCATGCAAATACCACTACACCTGTAACTGCAAAGAATAAAACATAATATGCAAATTCTGAAGCCGCCATGTAAAATGAAAATTTTAGTGTGGTCCTTGAATTATTTGTTTATGTGCATTCCATCCCTTCAACAACTTACATTTTACATACCCTCCGACTCCTTGACCAGCTGTATTTAAGCAGAGTAGCAGAAGACCAAATGACATTAAACAAATAGTACAACTGATAATGAACCCAACCAAGTGAGAGTGCCTCTTTTCCTACACCAGGCTACCTGCTTCTGCTTTCAGATATCCATATGGTGAGTGTTGTTATCAGGTTGATTATCCAACGGCATGTATTGTGCCATTATAGCCCGAATTTCCGAATCCATGTATCTCTGCATCAAGTTTAAACAGGAAACACAAATTCAGTTCACCTCTTCTGGTAGACTAAAGGATATTGTATCCATTGATAAGACTGAAGACCGAGTTAATACAGACTTAAAAGTTGTGGACAAACACTATAAGCTCGGGTGTTCGGATTGTGCAAATCAAAGACTGAATTTATGGAGTTTACGCCTACTAAAATAATGATTTGATCTAAAATGTGATCTAATCCATGGGAAGAATACATAGGAAAATCAGATAAAATAATAGTGCAAGAAAAAACCTTACCCGGATTCTGTATTTGTAAATGGCATACCCTACAGCTCCAGCAATTATCAATCCAAGAAGTATAGCCCAAATGGAGCCCCATCCCGACTCAGTTTTAACATTCTTATCTGCATGTTTTACAAAAGAAAATATCAGAACCAGTGAACATTAGAGAGGTCTTGACATCCTAGATTCCGAGAAAATGATATTCCATTCTCCAAATTCAGCAATGAACAATCAGCTTAATCTATGGGAAGAAGAATGGTATTAGTACGACGAAACAGGCATATTTCAATCATATATGAATATGATCAATTAATTTAGTTAGTCTACCGAAAATAATTATAGACAATTTGAACGACTCTAAAGTGTCTGCATTCATACATGCTGTCTAATGTCTATTGAGTTGTCATAGAAGGCGCAAAGGATACTCACTGATGCACGTGTCATGCTCTCGCATGTACAATGAACCACCACTACAACTGCACTCATAACTGCCCCAGGTATTTTTGCATTTGCATCCCGGACATTGGCAGGCCAGTTTCTCCTTGCACTCATCAGCATCTTGGAGACGGTCAATGTAAGAAACAGTTCACCAACCAAAATATTTAATGACTAAAAGCTTAAAACTTCTTTCATGAAACTTTAATATAGCACATATGTAGTCAAAAGCTTCCTGAAAAAGAAAATATCATAAGATGGTTTATAGAGAGCATTCGTATTTTATTCACTAATCAACACCTCCACCCATCATTTCCTTAAATAGAGCACCAATACATCAGCTTCTACCAGAAGTTGTCAGAGTCAGCAACCTTTAGGATGATTTAAGGTCTTACCAGATTCCCAAAAAGTACCTTAGATGCTTAGAATGTAATTTAAAACTAAATACTGCATTGAAATTTTTTGCTACTATAAATATTTTCCACTATAAAATCATTCTTCAAACAGACTCAAACGAGGCACACCACACATGCGAAAGTTGACACAGGTCTAGAAGTAGAAATAGCAAATAAGCATATCAAAATTCACATGTTCCACATATTTTTAGGAAACATAATGCATGATAATAAATGAACTATCGTCCAAATGCAGGAAAAAAAATTCAACGAGTTGTGTATTTCAGTGTTGAACATGTTGATGTTAGTAAAAGAAGAATCCGAGTAGAGAAAACCCGGTACCTTCACAGCTGTTGGCTCCATCACCCTTGAATCCAGGTGGGCACTTGCAACCATGCGAATGATCATCCTGAAGAATTCATTGCAATACCAAACAGCTAAGAGAAATGAAAATGAAGAGTTGGGGGGGGGGGGGAGTAGAGAGAGGGACAGACAAATAGGTACTCACGAAACAAGCAGAGTATGTCTTTCCTTCTTTTGTTTCCATCCAACATCCTCCATTGTTGATTGCACAATGTAAAGCCCCGAAAGCTGTTGATTAGAAAACAAGAGATTGAAAAACTCAGCATAAATGAGTTGTAGAATGTCAATTTATCTTTTATTATTTGATCTTTGTAAGTGTTAAGCTTAACCACCAATCGTTTCTATCAACAATTTAACATTAAATGCCTTCTGCTATGGACCACATCTAGTTTAGGAAAGGACGTTAATTAATTTTGAATTCTCATATTAAGGCTTAGCTTGTGATTTTATTTCTTTCACTAGGTTTCTTGATTATTTTTTTCAGTTGATTAACTTTCCTTTTAAGAATATAGATTAGTCCTTAATTAATGAGACATATGAAATAATAAAAACTAAGAAATTAAAAAAAAACTAAAAAGAGATCTAGTCTCTCTTTTAACAGTGTTGAGGTTTCAGTCTCCTTTTGATCAGTTGAAAGGTTCGTCTCCCTTCGACATGCTGAACTATCAATCCAAAAATTCAAGATCTAACATCTTCCTTTGCAGGGAAAAATATTTACCTTCGCAATGCGTATAACCATCTCCGAAAAACTTCACACCATTTACTATAGGGCACTCGCACACTCTTCCCCGGAAGGTATCCTACAAGAAAAACAAGACATCTGAAATGGTTGAATTGAACAACATATACTTGATCTGAAAAAATTGACATACCCTGCATGCAGTAATGTTAGTGGTCTTGTCCTGCCAACACCCACCATTGTTTTCCAGGCACTCATTAGTTTCGATATCTGCTCAAGACAATTCATAATAAAAAAATGAACATCATCTCTATTGTAGTATGTACCTAGAAATACAAATTTATTTTTGTTTAACCATAATAGCATTTGAACAACTTTGCAAGGACAGTAGGATACAGCTATTACTTCACTGAAGCTTATCAGATATACGGTTATCAGATATAGGGGTGAGCGTTCGATCGAGTCGAGGAAAAAAATTTCGAGTTATTCAAGTTGATGAGTCCTATTTTATAACTCGGAGTTGACTTGAAATATTTTCGAGTCGAGTCGAGTCAAATTTTCGAGTTTCTATTTAAATTTAATTGTAAATATTTACAATATTATGACATTATTTGATTCCAATTTAAATAATATTTTATACCTATATACAATACATATATATTTTTTTCGTATTTTTTTCATGTGATTTATGTATATTATACAAAGTTAAGCGACTCGACTCGAACTTGAAAATTAATATACTAATTACTAAAAATTTCGAGTTATTTGAGTTGTGTTTTGCAACTCGATTTGAACTTGAAACTTTTTCGAGTCGAGGCAAGTTTATGACATTACAAATCAAAGTCAATTCAAGTTGAGTCGAGTTGAAAAAATCGATTTTTAAGTCGGGGCGAGTTTCTGGAATGATTTTACCACTCAACAACACTGACGTAACTCTTTCATTTGGTTCATCGGTAAATAAAGGACGGTATAGCATGCACATCATGCAATAAAATGGTGAAAAACGGATAATTTAAATGCTTCAAAAGAGATCACTAGAAGAAAATGCTTGCAAATGGAGTTCAACGGATAATAACCTTCAGCTAAACATATTGCCGGTTCTGTCGTCTCTTGAAAACCAGCACAAATTGCCTTGAGAACAGCTCTTTTGGCCAACTTCCCTAGATCCATCAAAAAAAGGTTTGCATTACAGATTGTAAATCAGGGAATCAGATTGATGGCAGTGAGGGTAAGTTCTGGTTCAAACCTCTATACTGTCTATTATTTATCACAAGTGTTGGCAATATAGTTACATCTCCACGGGAGCCTTCGCCGATCTGTAACCAGAATTATAGCATAAAACAAACATCTCGATGATAAGATATGACAAAGGCAGGCCCTGAATTTTTTTCTCTTTAACTTATATTATAAGTTTATAATAGACTGGCCTGTGCATCTTGTTCAGCTTTAAGAACTGGGTTCTCCACATCAGCCTCAGTGTCTCCAATGCATTCGTCTATTTTAGTGAGATCAACACCTATAATGCAAAGAATGGAAGACGAGTATTCTAAGCATAAGTAAACCGATCAGGATAAAAAGATATACCCTTGTTCTCATCCATAGTCAACAACAGATTACTAAATGACCAACACTTCCAGCAGAAAATATAATTGTTTTGGTTTTTCTGGATCTCAAAATAATCACAAGTTATATCACATACATAATAAATACACCTATGGTAGATGCAAATGAATTCATTAGTGCTAAAACAATACCTAATTTCATGAAATTTGACACATGCAATATAAAAAGATAAGTCAAAGCTAACATTTGGTATAAGGCATCGACCTACCGAGAGACTGGATAACTTCATTAGAACAGTCTTTGGTATACTTCTTCTCTTTCATTGGGCAGCGGACAGCAAAGTCCGTGACATAATCCCACCAGAGCCATGGCTTTCCGCTTTCATTAGCAACTTTAAAAAGGCAAGCTTGGCGAAGATTTTGAACAACAACATCATTACCATCATATCCTTTACTGAAGTCTTGTTCCGGATCCGGGGCACAGTACCTCCCATTATTGATACACTGTGACTTGCACTGTTCACTGTGAAGAAAAGTTTTCGGGCAAAACCAAGTGATATAGTGTGGGATGAACTGTGTGTACCCTTTCTGCTCAAGTACTTGAGCGACTCCTTTAAAGTTTTTGACAAATTCCAACTGGCTGTCACACTTTGGTCCACACTCATCATTGCTATTTGTCCAAAACTCATACTCTACTCGGTTGTCGGGATGCGGAATAGACTCAGTCCAGTCCAGACTGATTTTAATCATTTTCCCGTCAGTTATGGCCGCCTTCAAACTGTCCCCAAGTGGCTTGCTAATGAGAGTCGATGGAATGGTAATGTTCTGCAGGTACTCGGCACTAGCTTTCGCTTCTTCAGGGCCATCCATGGTAATCAAGGGTTCACCCTGGTCGTCAACAACAAGAATTGCAGCAGCTCCAGCTTTCTGAGCATTCCATGCCTTCAAGGTGAACAAACAATCTGGCAGAACACCAAAATTAAAGCTGATAGGCAAAGCGAAATTTAAATAGTGCCAACAACCAACACATTGAAGAACTGCAGAACTCATAAAAACAAACGGATAGTCTTCATAGATTACAATGTATCATATTTACAAAGATGGAAAGTAATGAAAACCATCATAATTGAAATTGCTTACTTTCAAAATATGGTAGGTTAAAATACACAAATGATCTCTTATCATAGGACATTACTTTGTTGAGTCTTAATTATTAAAATTTACGAAATAATCTCTTAATTATAGGACATTGTTTTCTTAAGTCCATCGACTATTAAAAATTTCAAAATAATTATCCGACTATTCATATGTTCCAAAGTTAAAAAAACATATTATAGTCTAAAATAGATGTTAAGTTTTAAACTATGTAATATGATAGTTGTTTGATATTTTAAAATCAAATGTCATCCCGTCAAATTAATTTTTATCTCAAAATACAATTAATCTTTTAATTAAAAATTACGGTTTTCAATCATTTTTATAATTTATAATTGTCAAAAAAATTCAATAAAATAATATTTTATAAATAAAAAAACTATTTTATAAATTTTAATAATTGACATTCAATAATGTAATGTTTTGAGTACTTTCTCAAGATGAAAATCAAAGGGCAAAAACTCAAACCTCCACGATTAAGAAGAAGAAAAGTGGGGAATCCACCGGGCATTGATTTGAAGGAGGTGGCATTATCAAACACCTGGCATGCGCCTCGATTTGCCGTTGGATAAACAACCGTACCAACCAAAGTTCCACCGTACTGAGGGATCCCAAAATTCCCAATTGCACATTCATAAACTCCTTTGGCCGACTCAGGCGACATCACTATCACGCTGCATTTCTCCACTACAAACCTTCCCAAACAGTTCCCCACTAATATAATCCACACGCAAATAAAAAACCCAAACTTTTCTCTCATCTTTCCTCGATTCTGATAATAACCCAAGATGAAGAACCTCTCGATCTATTGCATTGCACAAACGTCGCCTTTTTTTAGCTGAATTTTGTTTTTTGTTATACCAAACAAAACAAAAGAGTTCAAACAAATTCTAAGATTTATCGAAATTTTGGATTTTCTGCGATGAATCCAATGTTTGAGAAAAAGATCCGGCTTTTTGGCTATATTATACATATAAAAACTTAAATGTTATCGATTTACTTGTTTTTTAATCTGGATATCTACCACCGATAACGGTGATGAATCCCAGGTATCTTCAAAGGGATGAACAGGTAGCAACCTGCAATTATGAACGAACCTTTAACATATATATATATATATATATATATATATATATATATATATATATATATATATATATATTATCCATTTTAATATTATTAACTATTTAATCACTGAATAACTAACAAATTTCAATGTATTATATTTAGTGAGAAAAATTCAGTCACTAAATTTACATTTTACTCAAAATTTTAATATAATACTGTTCATAGCTCTTATTTAATTGTTTACATTCTTTAATATAATCAAAATTTTAATATCCTAGTAATTTTAGAGTAAGCAGCTTAAAATTTAGGTTAAAAATTATTATCGAATCATACAAACTAATATGTTTATAGTATTTTATTTATTGCATAATTATTAAAATTTATAATAATTTGTCATTTGATGATATTTTATATGGTTTTCTTTTGTCATAATATTATTTTAATTTTTCCCCTAAAATTGTATGTATGATCAATCATATTATCATATATTTTTACATCCTTTCAATTTAAATTAGTATATTTAATTAATTGGTTGAGTTGTTTATCTTTATATTTTAATATTTTTTTAGATCGTGTGTTTTAAATTCACCAGGAACACTCTTCTTTTTTGTTAGAGTCTCCCCTTCTCCTCCCCTAAATAAAATTAAATCAAATTTAAGAAAAAATCTAGAATGTTTGTCATTCATTGCAATTCACCACTAATTTTAAAATTAAAAATTTACAAATAGTCATTAAACCATGTCAAAATTATCTTTCTGAACATTTAACTTTTAAAAGTTACATAACGAATATTAAATTTTAATTTTTTTACAAAATGGGCAGAAAACCATTAAGAAATATTTCATTTGACCCTTCAGTTATAACTAAAATTTAACTTTACTCTTAATTTTAATTGAAATAGTTTTTATTAGGTTCATTGCATTGAAAATAGAATAGATACAGATAAAATAAACACAATCTTTTAATTTTATATTATTAATATTAAATTTGTATCATATAAATTAAACATTATTTGATATGATATCATAATATTATGGATGTATTATTTTTAAATTACATTTAAATTTTTTAAATGAAAGTTAAATGCTTAAATCATATCATTAATAAAAAATTAATTTTATGATTAAAAATTAAATTTATTTATATTTGATAATATAAATTTTCGGATGTTAAAAATTTTAAATTTTAAATTTTACAAATACAACAACAATTAAATAGATAGATAGTTATAAAATGATTTTTGATTAATAAAAACCTAATTTCATTGTTTAATAACTGAATTTATTGAAAATATTTTTTAATTTTAAAAATAATTTTATTTTCATATATTTTAAAAAATTCTAAATTTTTTAAGTTTTTAGAAGTTTTAATTTTAAGTTTTTAGAATTATTACTTAAAAATGAAAAATATTAAAATAAAAGTTTAGTTATAATTGAGGGGTTAAATAAGATATTTTTAATTAATTTAGTATGTTATGTGACCACTTAATAACATTTAATGATTGTTATTTATTTTTAAAAAAATTAAAGTTTGATGTCTATTTTGTAATTTTTAAAAATTTAATGCTAAATAAAATCAATTTAAACATTTTTGTGATTATTTATGAATTTTATCATATTTTATATTAGTGATGCATTTTGATATATGTCTTTAGTAGTGCATTTTAGTGAAGGTCACTTATTGTAGATTCATCCTTAAATTTAAAATTTATATATATATATAAAAAAAAATTCATTCATTTCCATTATTATAGACGTCTCATAAAAAATTTGAAAATATTAGAAGACATTGTTTTGTAACCGTACATTTAATTTAAATATTAATATTTTCAGAAAAATTACTCTCAGAACATATCCTTGCTAATATAAATATCTTCTCTCTTTCTTCTTCACACCAAAATATAACAAAAAAATACATGGGATTTTGAAAGAAAAAGAATAATTTCAATGTATGCTTGTTTTTGTTTTTATTTAAGAATTTTTTATTATTTAAAATATAAAATATTAAAATTTTATTTTAAAATAAAAATTATTATGATTAATTTCATGATATATGCTTTTGTCGCAATGGTTCGTGGGCTGACTCGGATCGAATCTCGACTTAAAGTGAATTTCACTTTTTTAGAGTTGAAACAAATCTTACAAGTTTGATAAGGTCAAATACCTAAATTTTACCTTTCATTAGATCTACATCTTACTAGAGATTCACTTGTAAGGGTTCGGGAGTCAATTACGTGTGAGTAATGATGAGCACCCTCACATCGCCATTTCGGTACCAACACGGTTAGGTGTTGTCTTAATAGAGAAAACTTAAGTTTAAGCTCAAATTTAAAGAAAATATCTAAATTATTTATCTTTGAGTTTTGTTATGGTAAAATACAGTAAATTAGAGTTGTTAAAAAATAAAAAATAAAAATGATATGGGTAAGTGAAACAAAATAATTACGAGACCAAAATAAAGAAATAATAAATAATGTACAACATGAATAAAAGGTCAAATAAAAGCTAATATTCAACTTTAAAATTATAAATGGAATAAACAAATAATTAAAAGTATGAACATAAGCATGAATTAAGGACCTCCGTAGTAAAAGAATTTTTGTTATTCCTTGAAGGCACAAGTTCGAACACTATAAATGTCAGGGGTGTGTGAATTTAATGTCAAAATGTTGAGAGTTATCTTTGAACAGATATTGCCTTGTATTTACCTCATATATATCATTTTAATAGATATATGTGGTTACATATTGTAGAATCTTATTTTCGTTCGGGGTCTTTATTACATTGTATAACATATATGATATTATATAATATTTTCAAAAATATAATGTATACAGTTTGTGAAAATATAGTATAGTTTTTGAAAACTAAATTTTGAAAACATATAATTTATAGTTTTATTAAAAAAAAATTGAATATATATATAATAAAGTCTTTGAAAACATATTTTTGAAAACATATAATTTATAGTTTTTTAAAACGGTTTTTGAAAATATATAATATATAGTTATTTTTTAAAATGGTTTTTGGAAAACATGTATAATATAGTTTTTAAAAACATATTGTTATATAATTTTGAAAACATATAATTTTTGAAAAACATATGTAATATATATTTTAAAAACATATTGTATGATTTTAAAATATAATATATTATATAGTTTTTTAAGCTTATTATTATTATTATCATTATTATTTATTTTAATTTTATTTCGTGTTTTCCAGGTCCAAATTAAGTCCAAACGGTCCAGCAAGGAAGTCCAACCGAGCCATGTTAGCCTGACCCAGCAAAGCAAGCCTGGTTAGGGGTTATGACCCAACCTAAATCGAATTAGGGTTTCCACACATAGGCAAAAGGGCATCGAAAAGAGGAAGCAAGCAGTATGTGTGAAGAACACGTGCAAATACACAGTCGAGATTCCCAGCCAAGCAACCCGAGACTACACTATCCTGGGATTCCGGCCACACGAATAACGGTAAGCCCAAGCAAATCGAAGATGAGGAAAAACCCCGTCAAAGTCGAAAATAGCCCCATCGGAGGGTTATAAAAATACCACGCCGGACACAGCAACAATAACAGAGAGCAAGCCAAGAAATGCGAGTAAAATAGAGAGAAAAAATCGAAGAAAAACATCAATCACAACAAAGAAAATCAAAGCATTATCATCGAAACAACAGACCACCGAAAATAAACAATATTTGGCCAAAACCAAAAACAACCAAGCCAAAATAGAAACAAAGCCAAACATTCACACAAGCAGAAAGGCAAACACATCGTTGGTCTCGGCTCAGGAAGGAAACAGTCTTCGAAAGTCAAAAGGGTTCACCGAAAAAGGTAAAATTCGAACCTTAGGACTTAGATCTACTTCGATTTAGTCTTCTTTTGAGTAATCGAGCTTGTTTTGGGTTCAAGGGGTTGGGAGAAACATTTTTGTGGAATTTGAGTTTTTCCGACCTATGGTGGCGACGGCCGAGCGACGAAGTGGGTTATTAGTGAGTGATTGGCGCTAGGCCAGTTGTGTTTTGGTTGAGAGTGTTTTGGAGAGATTTTTTTTATTTTTTTTATATAATATGATAAAAAATGAATTTTTTTTTCAGGATTTAGGGGTATTTATAAGGGGGACCATCTTGTAATTATAAGATTTTTAAATTATTTTCACAGTCCCTGTTATTTTGATGCGTAATTCATTTTGGTCACCTGTTGTAAATTTTCCCTTGAATTTTGAATTAATTCAATTCAATCCTTGTATTTTTTTATATTTTTACAATTTGACCCACTAACTTTTATTTTTCTCCTTGCAGCTTCCAATTAACTTCAATTTGACCTTTAATTTCAATTTTTAAAATTTAATCCATCTTTAATATTTCTTTTAATTTAATATTTTTTTATTTATTTTTCATTTTCGTTTTATTCTATTTTATTATTTAATATCAATTTGGTTTTTTGGACAATTTTCATTGGTCAAAGGTAGGTAATTCGTTTGAACTTTTAAATTTTAATTTAGTTTTTAATTTTTGTAATTAAGACAACTGAGAAATCGAATTGGTATCGAAAGGGCAGTACAGTGGTGCTAATCCTTCCCTGACTGTAATCGATTCCCGAATCCGACAAATTCCTAATGAAACGTAGATCAAATAATGATAAGTTATGGTATCCAATCAACCAAAGTAAAATGATCGGTGGCGGCTCCAACACATCAAAATTAAGTCGAAACCCGATTTCGGGCCTACCTGAAGGACGTTTACGACTGCTTGGCGACTTCACTAAGGACATGTAAGTGAGT